CTCACTCTGCACAAGCCTTCACAGACTGCACACAGCCGGCACACACCATACACACGCTGCACACAGCGTACACACACTGTTAACAGCCTTCAAAGACTGTACACACACTACACAGAGCCTACACAGACTGTTCTCACTCTGACAAGCCTTCACAGACTGTTCTCACTCTGCACACAGCCGGCACACACCATGTACACACTGCATGCAGCCTGTGTTTGGGGTGGAGCTGGGCTTATGATAATGTCTAAGGTTGGGGGTGAAGAGTTGCACACCTGTACTGTATGTCACCCCCTGAGACTTAAACAAGTTGACTGTGAAGGCTTCAGTCCATCCCGACCAGAGGTCACTAGCACCAGTGCGACTGCGGTTTCCCCAGTACTGACCCACAGCCTCCTGGGCTGGGGTTATCCTCCGAGCGAGGGGGAGAGTGATGTTGCTGTCTGCGCTGTATTCCAGATAACCAGTTCCGCATGTCCATCCTGGAGCGGCTGGAGCAGATGGAGAAGAGGATGGCCGAGATGACCGCCTCACAGCAGCAGCAGCAACAACATCAGCAGCAGCAGATGACCCGGCAGGCCGCCCAGCCACAGAGCGCCACACAGCCGCAGAGCACTGCGCACGCCCAGGTACTGTGTGGTACTTGCTGCTGCTCAATACAGGGTAAAGAGTGAGGTACAACATAGGACAGTGTGGCTTAGTGTATCGCCCGCTGCTATACAAGAGACAGGTTCACTGCCGTGTAGCATAGTACAGTGTCATACATTAAATCACAGAAACTAGGCACAATAGACTGCAATAGGCATTGCATAGAACTGTATAGTACAGTGTAGAATATGTGTTAGAACAGTGTTTCATAGTGTAGATTAGTTGCACTATAATATAGCATGAGAAGTATTGTAGGTTGTGGTTCGCATGCCGTTATAAGCTACAGCAGAGAGCAATGGTAATTCTAAAAGTCAGGACCTTAGAGAGGGGGGCCAGCTTTGGCCTGGGCCTCACCTCAGCCAAGGGACCATGGTCCTCTACTTTAACCCTTTGGCTGTGTTTCCTGACTTGATTTGAATTTGGAACTTTTACCATATACTGTGCTTCTCGACTAAAGTCCACAGCTGTGAAAAACGTCCCCTTTCAGTGCTGAATCTACCATTCTTTAGAAGTTTCAAAAAGCCTGCCTTAATCTTCCCAGTCTTCCGTGCCATTCTTTACATTCAAATATTTTTTACCGCTCTTCCCAAACAATGAGGGGGCCTCACACAGTAAAATGGCCCGGGCTTCTTCTAAACTCTCGGAGGGCCTGCTAAAAGTATAGTGATGCAATGACTTGTAGTATTGCAGAGAAAGCATAGCATGCATAGCACATTACAGTACAACATAGTATTGTATATTTCATTATGCAATAACATTGCAAAGTGTACTGCATTTCGAGTGCATCATAGTTCTACCCTGTATCGTGCTGTGTATAAGAATAGAATAGTACTGAACGTCACAAATTAGCACATTCTCACCCCCTCTCTCTCCTTCCCTCTGTCAGTCTAGCGTCAGTTAGCAGGGCCTTGCGTGTGAGGCCCTGTGTGTTTCGGCCATCTGTCCAGCTGGGGTATTAAAATGGGAGGGAGGTCGGTGTCTGCGCGTCACACTCACCTGCCCACAGGCTAATTTAAACCTTTAAATCCTTTAATAACTCAGCCCCCGCCATCTCTCCCTCCCTCTCTCCTCTTCCATTCTCTCTCTCCCTGCCTTGCCATCTCGTCTCTGTCCTTCTCTCACTTTCCAAAACGCCCCAGTGCGTCAGAGGTACTTGCAGAGGGATTAAAAGGATGAGGGACAGGACAGATGCCACAGAGGGAAGTCGGGGGATGGGAGGAATAAATGAGGGCGTATGTAATGTTTCCGAATCGGGGCAGTTCAGTGGGAGAATATGAGACCCTACCTAACCCAGCGTGGAGAGAGAGAAGAAAGGAGTGATGTCTCTTGTGTCTCTCTACATCCTGCCTGTCTCTGTGGCAGTGGCAGTGTGGTGTCTCCAGCTCTCCAGCATCTGTTTCTCCCTCTCTCTGTGTCATATTTGCATTTTGTAACAATTATACTTAATGGTTCCCTCCCCTTCTCTCTCTTCTTCTCTTCCTCCCTCTCCTCGCTCTCCCCCTGTCTCCCTCTCGCCCACTCCCTCTCTCCTCTCTCTCCCCTGCCCCCTCTCTCTCCAGTCCTCGCAGTCCTTCGAGCAGCGGATCGTGGCGCTGTGCGAGCAGATGATGGCTGGGGGCCGGCAGTGGGTGCGGCCTGCAGGACTGGTGCACTCAGTCACTCACCGTGGGATGACCCTGCTCCACCTGGCCGCCGCGCAGGGATACGAGCAGCTCATACACACGCTCATTCATTGGAGGTGAGGAGAGAGGGAGGGGGAGGGAGGGCAGAGTGAGCAACTGGCTGGAGAAATGGGAGCGATGGTGAGGAGTGAGGGAAGAGTAAACCAAGGAAGAGATAGAAAAAGGCATCATAAGAGGAGGAAACTGCATGGAGAGAGACAGATGGAGGGATGAGGCAGTGCGTTGAGGAAAGTGGTGACACAGAAGTGGTAGTTGTGTTGTCTTGAGTTGTTTGTACATCTTACAGTGAGCTTTACTCTGTGTGTCAGTGCTAATGTATATGTATCTGGTAACAGTGTAATTCTCTCCCTCCCTCTGTGCAGGAGTGTGAACTCAGACAGTCTGGATCTGGAGCAGGAAGTGGACCCTCTCAATGTCGACCACTTCTCTTGCACCCCCTTGGTAATTCACACCTCTGCTGTCACACTGCCCTAACACAGCGCACCGAGAGATAAAGAACACTGTACTGTAAGACTGACACAGTGCACCGAGAGATAAAGAACACTGTACTGTAAGACTGACACAGCGCACCGAGAGATATAAAACACTGAACTGTAAGACTGACACACTGCACAGAGATAAAAAACACTGGACTGTAAGACTGACACAGCGCACAGAGATAAAAAACACTGTACTGTAAGACTGACACAGCGCACCGAGAGATATAAAACACTGTACTGTAAGACTGACACAGCGCACCGAGAGATATAAAACAGTGTACTGTAAGACTGACACAGCGCACCGAGAGATAAAAAACACTGGACTGTAAGACTGACACACTGCACAGAGATAAAAAACACTGGACTGTAAGACTGACACAGTGCACAGAGATAAAAAACACTGTACTGTAAGACTGGCACAGCGTACAGAGAGATAAAAAACACTTGTTTTTTATCTAAAGGACAGAATTCTTCACCCAAGGGGTGAGACAGGGCTGCAGCCTGAGCCCAACACTGTTCAATATCTATATCAAAGAGTTAGCAGGAATGTTGGAACAGTCTGCAGCTCCTGGTCTCACACTACATGACACAGAGATCAAGTTCCAGCTCTATGCAGATGACTTGGTCCTACTGTCGCCCACAGAATAGGGGCTGCAGCAGAGCCTGGCACTGCTGGAGCAGTACTTTCTGACCTGGGTACTGACAGTCAATTTGGACAAGACCAGAGTGATGGTTTTACAGGAAAAAAGCCAGACCTCTGGAAAACAAGTACCAATTCACACTCAACAACAACACATTGAAGCACACATCCAGCTACACATACCTCGATTCACCATCAGCTCTTCTGGGAGTTTTGACCTGCCAGTGAAGCCACTGAGGGAGAATGCACTCAGGGCTTTCTACGCAATAAGAAGGAGGCTTTTCAACATCAACCCACCAACAAGAATCTGGCTCCAAATATTTAAGGTGTAATCCAACCCAATGCCCTATATGGCAGTGAAGTGTGGGTCCCCTCACAGACCAGGATTACATTAAATGGGACAAACACCCCACAGAAACTGTACGCATGGAGATCTATAGAAACATCCTCCATGTGCAGAGAAAAACACCTAACAACAGGTGCAGGGCCAAATTAGGCCAATACCCATGATTAATAAACATACAGAAGAGGTTAATAAAGTATTGGCTACACTTAAAAAACAGCGATCAAAGTTCCTACCACCACAAGGCCCTGCTGAGCCAAGAGCTAAGCCCAACAAAGAGCCCTCTGAGCCAGCTGGTCCTGAGGATCACTGACCCGAGCAACACCAACACCAGCCAGCCTCAGGACAGCACTGCTAGAGAACCACAACTCAGAATCAACCATATCACAGCACAGATCAAACGGCAATATCTCGCACACAAACACAACATAAACTGGAATGCTACAGAATTCTAAATAAACAATACACACTAGCCAAATATTTGACCAACATAAGTAACGGCAAAAAAAACAGACCCTGACGAAGTACAGGTTCAGTGACCACAGCCTGGCCATAGAAACTGGGCAACACAGGCAGACCTGGCTGCCCAGAGAGGACAGGCTGTGCTCCCACTGCCAGCGGGGAGAAATAGAGACAGAGGTGTACTTCCTACTGCACTGTGACAAATATTCTGGGATTAGACAAACATTTACAAATCTAATCCCAGAATTCCCATACCTGCCAGAATCACAAGTCCCAATCCTACTGGGAGAGGGAGGAGGGAACTCAGTTGAACTGGCAGCCCAGTATATTACCTCCTGTCATAACCTGAGGAACAGTGAGCCTGTCTCCCAATAATGCTCCATGTTTATATGTATATATCTTATGATTGTGTCTTTATTGTAAATGTCTGTAAATGTCTGTAGATTCTTGTTTTATGTTAATTGTATTTGTTTTGCTTTGGCAACACTGATTTTACTCATTGGTCATGCCAATAAAGCATCTTGAATTGAACTGAATTAAAAAACACTGTACTGTAACAGTGACAGAGTGCACAGAGAGATACAAAACTCTGTACTGTAACACTGACACAGGGAGCTATCACTCTGTACTATATCACTGACACAGTGAGCTATAACACTGTACTGTAACACTAACACAGTGAGCTATAACACTGTACTGTATCACTGACACAGTGAGCTATAACAC